GCACTGGGATCCGGGAAAGGGAAAGCCATTCTTGTCATTTCCCCCTGTTGTGGGGCTTGGCAGCTCGGAGGATGACGAGGATGAGGAATTCAGACTGGTCCGACGGCTCAGGGCCTCCTATCCGATCGTCGTCGAAAGCGTACGTCGTCCCCCGGCCATTATCCCTTCATTCTGGACGATGAGGACGATGACGACAACGATGGCGATGAAAGTCCGGAAGACTCGGAGGAGGGCTCGCGCCGCTGATGATGCCTTGGAAGAGGACATGCGACGGGCCTTGTCCCAGTCCAGATCCGAAGCCCGGTGGAGATCCCTCTCGACACCGCCTCTGCAAGTCGCCGGTACAGCCGGATCCGGAGCCGGCACTGCGGGATCCGCGATCCAAGTCGACAGTGACGGTGGGTCGGATAGTGATGGTGGAGGGGGATCGCCTCATGGTGGCGGATCTCCGGGATCGTCTCATGGTGGCGGATCCCCCGGATCTGTCGTAATCCCTGCTCCTCCTAACTCGTCATTGCCAGGGATGCTCCCCGTGGCCCCGGTCGGTCCGGATGCTGCCTTCATTCCTGGTCGGCGTGCTCCTGTGGCCTTCGCCACCAGAGACATCGAGCCTTGGTCCGCCAAGAAGTTGAACCGCGTCGCCATTATTTCAATGAAGATCACTGTCCTGTTCCCTGAGCTGCCTTTTCGAGCTGAATGGATATTCCCTCGGGAAGCGGATGTCATCCCGACGGCCGGATATGTGGATTCGCTCATCACCAGACCTCACGTGGAAGAACTGCTAAATGCTGCCCCGTGGGATACGCTGGCAACCACACTGGTGGATCCGGTTAGCTTCAGGGGTGATGTGCGCGGGCGTCTCGGGTTGTTCGTTCGCGCGTTCCGGGATTTCGTTTCCAAGCACCGGGTTGCCATATGGGAAGGCACTCACCGATTCCCTATCTCTCGTAATCAACTGCAGGGTTCGACCTGGTTGTCCAACTTCAACAAGCAGCGTGGTAACCGACGTAGCCATGCCGGTCGAGCTTGGAAGAAAGTTCTCGTGATCCTCGTGTTGGCGATCCAGGACGGTTGGTGTGACGTGGATGTTCTATTAGATCCATCCTTCTTGCACCTTCCCCGACGCGGGGATAAGGTAGCTTGGTTTCCGGGATCCGTATCCCGTCAAGCCAACTTGGAGGATCCCAACCTCCGTCGCCCAGAACCCACGAATCTACTGGAGGCTTGCGAGAGATCGCCGAAGCCGAGCCTTGGCGCATTCAGTTTCGTGGGGACCCTAGCCAACACCCAGGACACCAGATCCAGCGTCTGGTAGGCAAGCTCTTCAATGTTCAGCCCAAGACCACCTGATCCCTATCATTATTTGACGCCACGCCCCCAGTTTCAGTCTTCGTAGATTCGCTTCGTAGTGAATTCCACCACACACGCACAACCACTGCAACCACTGCAACCACGCCCCAAACGCACGCTTCATACGCACTCGCACTCCTTCCAAGCGCTCTCACGGACACGACTCCGCTCAGAA